GTTTCCTTCACAAGAATACCTTTGTGTAGTCTAAAATGAGGCCCGCTCACATTAACTATGCTCAACAAAGGATAAGAGACTCATAGGGTTTTAATAAGTATGATGTATAAATGAGGACTATAACTCATTCCGAATGTATTTAATTCTTTTTTTTATGTAGCCGCGATGGAGATGAAACAAAGATTTGTCAAAATTAATATGGTTCACAACGGGAAGATCCATTAAATGCGCTGCTTGTCTCCGTGATAATATTTACAGATATGTATCTTTTGTAACTATGAAATATCAACGATTCGATGAATAAATTATTACTGTTATTGAATTATTGCCTTATTGCCCACTGGTAAGCTTAAATGAGTAATATGCCCGAATCTTAATCATAAAATATTATATATAAGGTCACCAACCGTAACGAGCACGGATCGACTGTTACAGAGCGTTAACTGAGTGAATACGACCTATCTCACAAACATGACTGTTACCCTTACAGCAAAGGAGTGAATTGATTCGCGTTTATAAAGTAACAATTAATACAACATGTCCATAAGGTATAGTCACGCGTGACAGTAAACACAACCATCAGCTGGAAAAACTATACGTTTACGCTTAAAACCTTTAAATGAGATTCTGAGAGCCAAGGAATAGGACTAAAACCTGCCTGCAGATTCATGAACTAACTGCAAAGTCGTGTTCATGGCAATGGCCTAAGGAAATAGACCTAGTAAACCATGACTATGGGAATCTTAACGTTTATACTGATAACCCTTCTCTCGGTGGAGGCCATCTCTTACACTTTTACACGGCTGTTGCGTGTATCAATCGGAGAATACACGGACGCAAGTCTGGAGCGATACACGAATGTACCGACCAATGTTGACTGTGCGAAGCAGTGCCTAGGACAATGCGCGGCCTATTACTACTCTTTTCCCACCAACGTATGTCAAACATATAGTCGTGAGTTTTGTCAGGACTTGGGAGCCGCCTCTACAAATTCCAGCGTACACTATTTCACCAGAAACAGTAAGTAAATAACATCAAGTTTATAAAACTAACAAATATATTTCACTGAAACTGTTATATATTTAACATACAATTGTTTTTTGCATTAACAGTCAGCAGTCAGTACCATTTACCGAGGTATTGGAACCATCTAGAAGAACTTTTCCACGAGGCCGCGTACCTCGGGGAACAGTCCATCCGGTTGGTCCTTACACCGCAGGAAATTAGGGTGTTCGTCTGCCGCCGCAATTGGTAGAGAAAAAAAATGATTGAAAGGTTTGAAGATATTAAAGACAAAGTATTTTTGCTGTTAGTTGAAAACTTTGACCCAGAAACATAATTATAGGTGCGGTAAGAATAGTGAATGTGTACTGATCTAAAATGTAAATTTCTTTATTTAGTGTTTGTTTTTCATCAGTCAAGTTAATCAAGTAACAACACAGTTGTTTCATGCTTTTCAAATCAACGATCAAATCATTTTCCCGAAGAGTTGGTACCCACCAGCAGAACTATTTCCCGAGGCTAAAAGAAAAGTGAAATTAGTTTGGCTGTTATCTGAAAGAGGACGAAAAACTGTTGTAGGGTACAAGGTGTAAGTATGTCTATAGTACATAGAATACATGGTGTTGTATTGTCTTTGTTGTCTAGTAACATCTACAAACGTTGTTTATGGTACGTAATGTACATGGTGTAGAGTTGTCAAATTGTACAATTGTAATTAGTTTATATGGTGAAAAGTTGTCTACTGAACAATGCAGAGTACTTTGTGTAAAGTAATGTATCGGATATAATGCACATGCTGTAGAGGTGTATGGTACGCAGTGTACAGTGTGAATGGTTGTCTATGGTACATAATGTACACGATGTAGAGTTGTCTGTGGTACATAACGTACACGGCGTAGAGTTGTCTATGGAACATAACGTACAGGGTGTAGAATTGTCTATGGTACATAATGTACTTGGTTTAGATTTGTCTATGGTACGTAGTGTACACGGTGTAGAATTGTCTGTCGTACATAACGTACAGGGTGTAGAGTTGTCTATGGTCCATAACGTACAGGGTGTAGAGTTGTCTTTGGTCCATAACGTACAGGGTGTAGAGTTGTCTATGGTCCATAACGCACAGGGTGTAGAGTTGTCTTTGGTACGTATTTGACATGTCGTCGGAAACGTCTATGATATGTAGAATACACGGTTAATGGACGTCATTGGTGAAATGGTTATCCTGTAGGATTAACACGGAACTAGTGACTCAACATAGGAGCAATCAACATCCATATCACTTCACTCAATATACCACATATAAGCTGTTTTTATTATCACACAAGGGATAATCTGACATAAAGCTGTTTCCTTGACACAAACTTGGCTTTGAATATAATGGTTGTCATTTTCGCATGTTTTGTTGGGCTTTTTGCTACTAGTTCGTCAGTCCAAGGAGACCGGTCATTACCCTTATCCTATTAAAGGTTCGTCCTCACCCATTTGTTATTATCTCTTCGTTTAATTACATGTCATACACGTGTCTAAGTCTTCGCGATATTTCTGTTAAAGATGATGTACAAAAGCGGGAACTGACGTTTGTTGTATTCAACTGTTAAACGACACCATAAAACCATCATACCGCATGAGTGTGTTTACACTGTGTCAAGATCTGCTATCAATGTAAATATCTCGAAAGTCGTGATTGTAATCAATTTCCTGAATAAAGCAAAAATAGTTAAACAGGAATCCTGCATGCATATTAATTGTGAATAAAAAATGACGCTTTAAAACACACCGACATGTGTCATTGTCAGATATCGAATTTCAACATTATCTAAATGTTAAAACATGTTTTGTTGCAATTGTTAAAAAATACATTTTCCAATCAAAAATAGAAAAACAACAATCCACATTTTATATTTTGAATCATTTTCCAAATTTCAAACGCCGGTCCTAAAAATGTCGACATGGATGTTTGCGAACGTTAACTTTCCTTTCATCATTAGTTCCTCTCCTTGCTTACAAATGTCGCATATTACATTTCGTCCACCTCTTTGACAGAACTTTCTTAGAATAATATACATTGTAAGTCGCCCCTTTATCAGACACAATCATAAAACAATTATATATTACCAAATTAACATCAGCATAAACAATCAGTAGTAAATGTTTTTGTTATATATAATGACATGCTCACGTCTTGCTCTGTGTTATAACTTGTGACATGTAATTGTTCAATGTTTGTGCGTTGTTTAAGGGGCTGATTGCCTTAACACAAATAGTGAAATCCTTTACGCTGTTATGTTTTGAGCTCAGACATTGTTTGTCCTTGAGAATTGACGATATAGTACATTTGTGTTTTTCCTACCTAAATATTCTACATATTGTATATGTGGGATATTTGTATTCCTTCTACATGTTTACTTTCTGTCATACTCTAATAGTGTTCCTCCTGGTTTTTGTGTCACTTCCCTGATTTATGCATAATATGCATTAACGTATTTAATGTGGAACAGCTTAGACGATTATGCACTGCCACCGTGCTTTCTTGTTTCTTTGTTGAAAACTCCAGTATTTAATTTAGAAACAAATTGTTTGGGTTTCAATTATACTCAACGAAGTGATAGTAATGCAGATGTTAAGTGATATCAGTTTCATACTCATGTATACGTTAAATCATGCCAGTGAAACAATCCGATAGTGATAGGGAACATATCATTTATACCAAAGCATACGTCAGTACAGCCTCTTTAAGTTATGGATATGTGGGTTTATATCCTCATAACAAACTGATGTACTGACAGACTCAACAACACACTGATAGTAGATGTAATATAGGCGTTTAATTATACCCAATGATTTCTACATTGGAAGCAAATGTGTCGCTTATTCTGTTCTTAGATCTATTCCTTACCTCTCATCGCATGCAATGATAAAATAAACACTTTACTCATAAGCAATTTGAGATTATACAGTTCTTTTACGTTTGAAATTCAAATGATTGAGGACTTGTACGCAGCTCCCTTCTGTTTCAACAGTAAATAAGACCAATTAAGGTTCCATTCTTGGCTCCTAGCATCATCAGTGAGTCCTAGAAAGACGAAACAGGTGTAATTGTGGATGAGTTTTTAAACGTGGAATCACGTACATTGTATGTGTTTCTTACGATTATCTTTCTCCATGCTACGGGAGGCAACTGGTAAGTCTCGTTTACTACAACTCAAGTAAGATTATGTCGAAGTGCAAAATAATTCTCCCACACCTTTCTCTAATCTAAATTGAGGCTCACTGTGCTTCGTCATACGATCACATTAGCTATGCTAAACAAAGGATAAGAGACTCATAAGGTTTTAATAAGTACGTTGTTTAAATGAGGTTTATAACTCATTTCGAATGTATTTAATTACTTTTCTATGAAGCCGCGATGGAGATGAAACAAAGATTTGTCGAATCGTGTGTTACTTGATTATTGAAATACACGTTAAGATGGTTTACAACGTGAAGATCCATTAAATGCGCTGCTTGTCTCCGCGATAATATTTACAGATGTGTATATTTTGTAACTATGAAATATCAACGATTCGATGAATAAATTATTACTGTTATTGAATTATTGCCTTATTGTCCAAAGGTAAGCTTAAATGAATAATATGCCCGAACCTTAAACATTCAATATTATATACAATGTCAGCAACCGTAACGAGCACGGATCGATTATTACAGCGCGTTAACTGAGTGAATACGACCTATCTCACAAACATGACTGTTACCCTTACAGCAAAGGAGTGAATTGACTCGCGTTTATAAAGTAACAATTAATACAACATGTCCATAAGGTATAGTCACGCGTGACAGTAAACACAACCATCAGCTGGAAAAACTATAAATTTACGCTTAAAACCTTTAAATGAGATTCTGAGAACCAAGGATTAGAACTAAAACCTACCTGCAGATTCAAGAACTAACTGAAAAGTCGTGATCATGGCAATGGCCTAAGGAAATAGACCTTGTAAACTATGACTATGGGAATCTTAACGTTTATACTGATAACCCTTCTCTCGACGAAGGCATTGTCTTACACTTTTACACGGCTGTTGCGTGTACCAATCGCAGTATACACGGACGCAAGTCTGGAGCGATACACGAATATACCGACCAATGCTGACTGTGCGAAGCAGTGCCGAGGACAATGTTTGGCGTATTACTACTCTTTTCCCACCAACGTTTGTCAAACATATAGTCGTGAGTTTTGTCAGGACTTGGGAGCCGCCTCCACAAATTCCAGCGTACACTATTTCACCAGAAACAGTAAGTAAACAGCATCAAGTTTATTAGACTTAACAAATATGTAAAATATAAACTTTATTTATTTTACAACAATTATGAAACAAGTTATTTCAACTTATATTAATCACTCTTGTTGGCTCGTATGTTAGCGCGTGGGGGTCTTAGTGTTGGAGAAAACCGGAGTACCCTGGGGAAACCCATGTGGTCGGGCAGGTGACGCCAACCTTTTTACGTCCGATCAGGGAATCTAACCCCGGACGCCGTGGTGAAAGGCAAGAGCGCTATCCACTGCACCAACCGACCACCCTGAACAAAAATATTTCACTGAAACTGTTAAATATTTAACATACGATTATGTTTTTGCCTTAACAGTCAGCAGTCAGTACCATTTTCCGAGGTATTGGAACCATACATTTTTCCCCGAGGCCGCGTACCTCGGGGAACAGTCCATCCGGTTGGTCCTTACAACGAAGGGAATTAGCTTTGGCTGTTAACTGTTAGATAAATTTACGTAGCACGCGTCAATTTCTGTTGACTGGTCACGTGTGTAACTAGTGTTTGCTACCCTAAGACTGTTTGACTGGTCACATGCGACATATGTAATCGAACGCATCTAATTTTCAAACGTCCTCATGACTATGAAGAAGAATGCAGGGTGCTCGTCTGCCGCCGCAATCGGTATAGACAAAATGATCGAAAGGTTTAAAGATATCGAAGACAAAGCATTTTGCCGTTAACTTAAATATTGTGACCCAGAAAAAATATTTATAGGTGCGGTAAGAATAGTGAATGTGTACTGATCTAAAATGTAGTTTTCTTTCTTAAGTGTTTGTTTTTCATCAGTCAAGTTAATCAATTAACAGCACAGTTGTTTCATGCTTTTCAAATCAACTATCAAACTATTTTCCCGAAGAGTTGTTACCCACCAATGGAAATATTTCCCGAGGCCGAAAGAAAAGTGAAATTAGTTTGACTGTTTTTCTGAAAGAGTACGAAAACTGTTGTAGGGTACAAGGTGTAAGTATGTCTATGATACATAGAATACATGGTGTTAAATTGTCTTGGTTGTCTAGTAACATCTACACACGTTGTTTATGGTACGTAATGTACATGGTGTAGAGTTGTCAAATTGTAGTGAAAAGTTGTCTGATGGACAATGCAGAGTACTTTGTGTAGAGTAATGAATCGGATATAATGTACATGGTGTAGAGGTGTATGGTACGCAGTATACAAGGTGAATGGTTGTCTATGGTACATTATGTTCATGGTGTATAATTGTCCATGGTACATTATGTACATGGTGTAAAATTGTCTATGGTACTTAGTGTACTTGGTGTAGATTTGTCTATGGTACGTGGTGAACACGATGTAGAATTGTCAGTGGTACATAATGTACATGGTGTATAGTTGTCTGTGGTGCATAATATACATGGTGTAAAGTGGTCTGTGGTACATAATGTACATGGTGTAAAGTTGTCTGTGGTACATTATGTATACGGTGTAGAGTTTTCTATGGTACATAATGTACACGGTGTAGATTTGTCTATGGTACATAATGTACACGGTGTAAAGTTGTCTGTGGTACATAATGTACATGGTGTAAAGTTGTCTGTGGTACATAATGTACACGGTGTAGAGTTTTCTATGGTACATAATGTACTCGGTGTAAATTTGTCTATGGAACATAACGTACACGGGGTAGAGTTGTCTGTGGTACATAATGTACATGGTTTAAAGTTGCCTGTGGTACATAATGTATATGGTGTAGATTTGTCTATGGTACATAATGTACACGGTGTAGATTTGTCTATGGTACATAATGTACATTGTGTAGATTTGTCTATAGTACATAATGTACACGGTGTAGATTTGTCTATGGTCCATAATATACACGGTGTAAAGTTGTCTGAGGTACATAATGTGCATGGTGTAGAGTTTTCTATGGTACATAATGTACACGGTGTAGATTTGTCTGTGGTACATTATGTACACGGTGTATAGTTGTCTGTGGTACATAACGTACACGGTGTAGATTTGTCTATATACACGGTGTAAAGTTGTCTATGGTACATAATGTACACGGTGTAGATTTGTCTATGGTACATAATATACACGGTGTAAAGTTGTCTGAGGTACATAATGTACACGGTGTAGAGTTTTCTGTGGTACATAACGTACACGATGTAAAGTTTTCTGAGGTACATAATATGCATGGTGTAGAGTTTTCTGTGGTACATAACTTACACGGTGTAAAGTTGTCTGAGGTACATAATGTGCATGGTGTAGAATTGTCTATGGTACATAATGTACATGGTGTATAGTTGTCTGTGGTACATAATGTTCACGGTGTAAAGTTGTCTGGGTTACATAATGTACATGGTGTAAAGTTGTCTGTGGTACATTATGTACACGGTGTAGAGTTTTCTATGGTACATAATGTACACGGTGTAGAATTTTCTATGGAACATAATGTACACGGTGTAGAGTTGTCTGTGGTACATAATGTACATGGTTTAAAGTTGCATGTGGTACATAATGTACATGGTGTAGATTTGTCTATGGTACATAATGTACACGGTGTAGATTTGTCTATGGTACATAATGTACATGGTGTAGATTTGTCTAGGGTACATAATGTACACGGTGTAGATTTGTCTATGGTACATAATATACACGGTGTAAAGTTGTCTGAGGTACATAATGTGCATGGTGTAGAATTGTCTATGGCACATAATGTACACGGTGTATAGTTGTCTGTGGTACATAATGTACACGGTGTAAAGTTGTCTGAGGTACATAATGTGCATGGTGTAGAATTGTCTATGGTACATAATGTACACGGTGTATAGTTGTCTGTGTTACATAATGTACACGGTGTTAAGTTGTCTGAGGTACATAATGTACACGGTGTAGAGTTGTCTGTGGTACATAATGTACACGATGTATAGTTGTCTGTGGTACATAACGTACACGGTGTATAGTTGTCTGTGGTACATAATGTACACGGTGTAAAGTTGTCTGAGGTACATAATGTACACGGTGTTAAGTTGTCTGAGGTACATAATGTACACGGTGTAGAGTTGTCTGTGGTACATAATGTACACGGTGTATAGTTGTCTGTGGTACATAATGTACACGGTGTAAAGTTGTCTGAGGTACATAATGTACACCGTGTAATGTTGTCTGAGGTACATAATGTACACGGTGTAGTTTGTGTATGGTACATAATGTACACGGTGTAGAGTTGTCTGTGGTACATAATGCACACGGTGTATAGTTGTCTGTGGTACATAATGTACACGGTGTATAGTTGTCTGTGGTACATAATGTGCATGGTTTAAAGATTTCTGAGGTACATAATGTACATGGTGAATAGTTGCCTATGTCACGTAGGGTACATGGTGTAGACTTTATACATGGTGTAGAGTTGTCTATGGTACGTATTTGATCAGAAACGTCTGCTATGTAGAGGTCACGGTTAATGGACGTCAGTGGTGAAATCCTGTAGGATTAACACGAACTAGTGACTGAACATACGAGCAATCGACATTCATATCTCTTCACTCAATATACCATATATAAGCTGTTTTTATTATCACACAAGGGATAATCTGACATTAAGATGTTTCCTTGACACAAACCTGGCTTTGAATATGATGGTTGTCATTCTCGCATGTTTTGTTGAACTTTTTGCTACTAGTTCGTCAATCCAAGGAGACCGGTCATTACCCTTATCCTATCAAATGTTCGTCCTCACCCATTTTGTATTATCTCTTCGTTTAATTACATGTCATACACGTGTCTAAGTCTTCGCGATATTTCCGTTATAGATGATGTACAAAAGCGGAAACTGACGTTTGTTGTATTCAACTGTTAAAAAGCGACACCATAAAACCATCATACCGCATGAGTGTGTTTGAACTGTGTCAATATCTGCTATCAATGGAAATATCACGAAGGTGTGATTTTGTAATCAATTTCCTGAATAAAGCAAAAATAGTTAAACAGGAATCCTGCATGCATATTAATTGTGAATAAAAAAATGACGCTTTAAAACACCGACATGTGTCATTGTCAGATATTGAATTTCAACATTATCTAAATGTTAAAACATGTTTTGTTGCAATTGTTAAAAAAATACATTTTCAAATCAAAAGTAGAAAAACAACAATCCACATTTTATATTTTGAATCATTTTCCAAATTTCAAACGCCGGTCCTAACAATGTCGACATGGATGTTTGCGAACGTTAACTTTCCTTTCATCGTTAATTCCTCTCCTTGTTTACAGATGTCGCATATTACATTTCGTCCACCTCTTTGACAGAACTTTCTAAGAATAATATACATTGTAAGTCGCTCCTTTATCAGACATAATCATAAATCAATTATATATTACCAAATTAACATCAGCATAAATAATCAGTAGTTAATGTTTTTTGTTATATGTAATGACATGCTCACGTCTTGCTCTGTGTTATAACTTGTGACATGTAATTGTTCAATGTTTGTGCGTTGTTAAAGGGGCGGATTGCCTTAACACAAATAGTGAAATCCTTGCTCGTGCTACGCTGTTTTGTTTTGAGCTCAGACAATGGTTGTCTTTGAGAATTAACGATATAGTAAATTTGTTTTTTTCCTACCTAAATATTCTACATATTGTATATGTGGGATATTTGTATTCCTTCTACATGTTTACTTTCTGTCATATTCCTATAGTGTTCCTCCTGGTTTTTGTGTCACTTCTCTGTGTATTAGCAATTTCTTTGAGAGCGTGGCCACGACCTAAGTTTGACCTATATTCGCAGGATAAAAATTCGTCGATGAAGCAGTGTGTTTGTTTGTGTTTTACGTTTGATTAACAGCTATGGTCATTTAAGGTCGTATCAGGTTTTGATGGTGGAAGCGATGAAGAAGTAGCCGCTGTTGTACGATAAACAGGAGGATTTCCATTTTCCGATTGCGAGCTTTCCCTTTCTTGATAGAAACTTCCCTGAAACGCATGTTTATGGATAGATATTA